ATATAATAATGCTATTAAAACTGCGAGGGTGATTTTAAATACACGCAAGGTGAGACAATGTCTTATATTGCCTTTAATATACTTGGTTTTATATTTGTTGAGAATGATCGCATTGGATATTAAAAATAAAAGGAACTTTATTAAATACATAAGTCTTGTGGTTGTTCAGCGTCGCTCCTGACGAAGGGCCTTTGCTCGAAACGTCGAGAAGATATTTTGATCTTTTATAGGCTTGCGTGTACCTCCACTACAAAGATTCTATTGAATACAATTGTATAATACTACATTAAAATTAGATTAAAAGGCGAATTAGACGCAAGGTTAGACAATGTCTTTTATATTACATGATATACACTCTGCTAATATCTGCAATACTATGTTTCCGAGGCTCCAGGACATTGGTAACATTGAAATATCGAATGCAGTTGGGGCAGTTGGCAGTATTGATTATAGATGCACTCAAATATGAACATTGAATATTTTAATACTGGGTCCTGTTTTAACAACAAACTTTTAAAGAACTTTTATCTAATTTTAATGTAGTATAATACAATTGTATTTAATAAAGTTCCTTTTATTTTTAATATCCAATACTATCATTCTCAACAATTATAAAACCAAGTATATTAAAGGCAATATAAGACATTGTCTCACCTTGCGTGTATATAAAATCACCCTCGCATTTTTAATAGCATTATTATATGTCCTCCTGCCTTTCGAGTTTCGACCGCAGTTTGTACCGTCAGATAAACGCTAATCCCAATTTCATATCTCATTCAGTCGAGGAAATGTGCATTCTTTTAGCCTCGACATGAAATGCATGTCTTTGTGCAAACATGCCTTTGACAATTGACGAGACGGCTCCGTTCTGGCTCGCTTCAATTTATCCAAATCTATCCAATGTTTCCTTCTCCTTAATGACTGCAGCCGAAAATCTACATAATATGGTATTGGATGTAGAGCTATTTGATTTGTAGCATCTGTTGTGTTAGAACAGTCGTATACAAGATATCTAACAGGCATTTCGAAGCGCAAAGTATACAAATTTTCATTGCACACAATAGATATTTATTGTAATACAACATGAGTCGATTCACTTCCGTTCCCGGTGTGACATCACAAACCTGATTCGTACTCAGCCTCTTTTCTCCCGGCCATGTCTTGAAAAACCCTATTTTTTGCCTGTTTGATCTAAATTATCTCTGGAAGTATTTATCCGATCAAGGAATGATATATATCATTCGAATTGTCTAATTTTTGCTGATTTTTGGTGAAAAAATGGTATTAATGTCATATGCACTTTAAAGGGGACACATTTTGGTGTATTAAACATTCATGAGTTAGATATTAAGTGTATTGCATAAGGAACTGAAAATATTGGCATCAAATGCTAATTAGACTGCACTGGCAACAATATATTGCTTTTCTACTCTGTGTTCCCTCCTGTGTTGTTGAGTCAAACACTAGTGTATAACTAGAACTTTATGTTTTTTATGCTCTAAACCCAATGAAATTGTACTTAGCAAACAAGCGTACTTCACTAGAAAATGCAAAATTGAGGTTAAGCTATGTACGAATCTTAAAGTTGTGGTTACTTAATAGATGGATATCAAATTTTGGACATATCCTTGTGGTTTTTAAAAGCATATTGCAAATCAGTAATAACTATGTCATGCTGATAACTCAATCTTTTAAAAAAACATAAAACAAATACAAAGATTAAATGAGCATTAAAGAACTCAACATCTGAACGACTGAAAACAGCAACGTTTATAAAGTGTGCTGTGTTAATACTACAGTACATGCACATGCAATAACAATATTGCTGTATGGCCAGTATGGGAGTCTATTGTAGATTTCCAAAATCCATCTAGTTTTTGTCAAGTGCTCTGACTTTTCTCATTTTACCAAATTTTGACATTTTCACAAACTAATCTCCAAGCTAAAATATAGACAATTGCTAGAATGCAAAGCCACCAAATAATAAAAGAGTCCTTGTTATCTTATCAGGTTAAAATACTGCAGACTAAGTACAGGCCAACATCCCCAGGGTTCTACATTACGCCTGATTTGTTAAATGATAAAAGAATCAAACATAAGATCTCATTTGTTTTCAGTATGAACATGGACTATTGCTGTTCGTACAACACTTAAGTCAAAATTACTTTGTTTTGTCCTAGTTGCTTTCATATTTTGCAAGAATCACCTGCCATTTGTATTTTGTGTGTGTAATTAAAATGAAAACTTGGTCATTCATTATTTATCACTGGAGAGAGAAATACAACAAAATAATTTTCTCACAATCATCAGCATGGCTTGGAACAATGTCTAAATAAAAAGTTAGTGCACTTGTATACTAGATAGCAGGATACCCATTCATGAAAAAGCTTATGAACAAATCATTGGTTTTAATAACCAATATAACTTGAATTATGCATTTTATATTTTTACTTTTTGGCCATTGTGAGCATTGTATGCAAAAAATTTAAAATGGTTCCACAGAAATAATAAAAAGCTATACTGAATTATTAAAAGTTCAGTCTTTGACATAATTTAGTAACTTTGTATTGTTTCCCGGAGATCCATTTCAAGTAACTTTTCAAGTACAGAATATTGTGCAAGTTTAAGTCCATTGACACACCTTGTTGTACATATATACAAGTTTGTATTCATTCTATTTTATAGGACACATAATTTCAACTGTTTCATTAATAATATGACCTTGAAAATAAAGGCATAGCTATGTGCCAAAATCATGTTGTTTCTAGAGGACACTTCAGCCTAGTTTACCATACAAACTCATATTAGCCATATACAGGAACACTACACTAGAATGTGTAAAGTGTATATGCAACATTTTTAGCCAGTTGATTTTATCCATAATGTATTAAATGATCTGAAAAGTCTTCAACTGTCCTATAATATTTTGACTACTCTTCAAACCTTTTACATTCAATATTTGATATATAAAAATTTCTACTAGTTTGCCCAGCAACTGCATACAGTATGCAAATCATACTATTGCCACCAGAAAGAAAATCGAATGACTCTTAATCTTTTACGCGTTTCTCGAGAAATTCTCGAAGAGTGTTTGTACTTTGTAACACTTCAATTGGCAGTCAAAATTCTAATTTCCAAATATTTCAGGAAGAAAAAAAACGCAGGGTAACATAATGCCCACTTTTGACTTCTTGTGGGAGCGGGGCAACGGTTTTAATTCGCATTGTTTTGATAGCTTTGCATTAATTTGAAACAACGGCGACCTTTTAATACTTTTATGTTGAATCCGAAAATCTTTACCAATTTAAAAAATATTAAATACGTTGGCAAAGGAAAATATTGAGGTACAGTACGTATTGCAAGACGTTTCGCCACGGAAAAAAATGCTAGACAGCTGTCAACACTGGGCGTTTATAGTGAGAAAATGCTCAGCGAAGTAATAACTAATTCATGCCTTGAAGAATGAAGAGGGTCCTTTCCACATGCATAAATTATCGAAAAAATATCGTAAAAATGCATACAATGATATCATTTCAACCCCAACCTGTCGATATATTGTGTTCTACATTCCTATATATTCATCTTTTGGACATAATTACTTTTTATCAAATACGTGGACTTGCTTTGTTTTGTGGCAAAATATGTCATTGCCTTCTGTCGTTCGATGTAAACAATATATCTTAATAGGACGTACAACGTGTTTCAATCCCGTTCTTTAACAGCGGGTTAGTGCATAGATGAAATAAATTCGAACGCCTGTTCTTCATATCCTGTAAACCGTGCGAGTAACAAGAAAAATACAAGAACTAAGCATGAAAATACGACCGACGCTTCAGATAAAAGCGGTTACAATTTACAATGCCGTATGCGTACACTATTATTTTGACTTTTTGACTCAAACAATGACCGAGCAACTTTGAAATTGAATGTGTTTCGAACGTGAAATATGTTACAAAACAAGTTAAGTCGATAATATAGTGATGCCGATCTCCATTTAGGCACAGCACAATTATAAATCGACACGAAACAAAATGAAAATGCCTTACATTTTGTGTATGCTTGCAGCTGCTCGAATTCTTCTGGGGATAGTGAATCCCATATGCTTCTTGTTCGATGTACTGGTGGTGTTCCCGTCGCCATTTCAAGCGATCTGTGATCGAGTGTGGTCAAAGCGCCGCCATTATCAGGTTAATCCCCAATATTCGAACCTAAACAGAAAGTTCAAAGGCCGTTGTGTACTCCTTTCTAGAAATTTCACCTGGCTATGGTAGTGGATCATTATATTTGTAAATGAAATTTTGATTTCTCTCACACATTTACATACACAAGCCAAACTCCACGGCAATACTTCATGTAAGACAAGTATTAACATTCTAGTCAAGGGAATGTCAATATAAACTTGTATGTCGTAATCCCCCACAACGAACGCCCGTGAGTTGGCCCCGTTCATGCACATGAGACCGGAACGAAGTCAAACCGGGACAATTTCGTTTCGGTCATAGTATTATAGATATATGGATGTTTCCAGGACGAAAATAACTCAGACTGGTCTCAAGTCATTCCGTCTGCTGGACCGAGCCGTCTGACTTCAGACCAGCATGAATTCAGACAGACTGGGATGAATGTAAACACAAATTCATTTCAATCTCGGCTGTAACCTTGCCTGACTAAAATTGCCTGGCAAGGGGAATAAATTGAAAACTTTGTGAAATTCGTACCGAGTCTCATGTAAACATGTTGACAATTTCAATTTTCATTCCGATTTGACTTCGTCTGGGCATTTTTCCCCTTTTCAGGCAATTTTCTTTTTTAGATGGCTTTTGTGATATGTTGTTCCAATGTCAAGGTTACAGCTGAGACCGGTCTGAAATGTGCCACAACGATCCCACAACGACCCACAAGAATCCAACAACAACCCGCAAGGAGACACAACGAGGCAACAATGATCCCACAACGATCCAGAACGAGACACAACGATCCCACAACAACCCCAAACAAGCCACGACAAGTTTGAAAATGTATTTGGAATAGGTTTAACTTAATGTTCAAGTTCCCTGTTTAAGAAATAGAAAACATACGAGTCTTCTCATTTCATGGGAATATCCTGAGTCTGCGATCACGGCTTCAATTTTTGAATTGCAGCTAGAATAATTAGATGCACTATCTAGTGTATATAAGATATCTATGCCCACGACGACCCACAACGGCCCACAACCAGCCACAACGATCCCAAAGTGACCGTCAGTTGCAATTTTGCATGTTAAATAATATAAGTTTTTGTTTGTGGATCGTTGTGGGATCATTGTTGCCTCGTTAATTGTGTCTCCTTGCGGGCTGTTGTTGGGTTGTTGTGGATCGTTGTGGCTCGTTCCATGTTTTAGTAACTACGTGCGGTCAGAAGTCAGTCGGCTCGGTCCACCAGGCGGCATGCCTTGAGACCGGCCTGAGTTATTTTCGTCCCTGGTCTCTCTCATGTGAACATCTATTTTTATAATACTATGAATTGGTCCCGAAACGAAATGGTCTGGGTTTGACTTCGTTCCGGTCTCATGTAAACAGCTAGCGCCTAAGGGACCGTTCATTATTTACGGAGATGAGTGATAAACTGGGGGGGCTGAGATTTCTCTAGATGAAAAAGGGGGGACTGCAATTCTGGTAAACCAAATTATGGGGGAAGATAAAATGTATCTTATAGATGTATCTTCCTGAGATTGAAGGAAGATACCTCTATAAATTTAAAAAACTCATTAATAATTGATGAGGGAAAAACAAAAAGAAATCAGATTGACATAAACTTCATCTTTGAATTTCTCCTGTTAGACAATGTTGATTTTCAAAATTACTAGGTCGAATAGACAGGGCGCACATTCGAAAAAAATTTGGGGGGGTGTCCTATGTTCTTGGACCGACTTTTGTAGTATTTATGTTTGGTTAGAAAAGCTAACTATTTAAAGCGCATAGACGGTAAAACGGGGATACCATTCCAAGAGTTTAAATAAACGTTCAGTTTTTCAGAACTTTTGCAGTGGTCTAAACTTTCGGAGGGGGGGGGGGCAAAATTGTTATGAATTTTGAATGCGAGCGCCGTAGGCGCGAGGAAAATTTTGAATTTCTAGATTCATTAGAACGCTATTTCACGTATTTTAGGACAAGGTTTGAAGAAAAGTTACAACCACAAAAAGGCATTTTTAAGTCGCCTAATTTTGTTAGATCGAAAAAATATTTATGTATAGAATTTAAATATAAAAAACGTTCAGTTTTTCAAAACTTTTGCAGTGGTCTAAACCTTTGGAGTTTGGAGGGGAGGAGGGGTCAAAATTTTTAGGGATTTCGAATGCGCGCGCCGTAGGCGCGAGGAAAATTTTGAATTTCTAGATTCATTAGAACGCTATTTCACATATTTTAGGACGAGGTTTGAAGAAAAGTTACAATCACAAAAATGCATTTTTAAGTCGCCTAATGTTGTTAGATTGAAAAAATATTTATGTAAAACATAGTATTGTACACGCAAATACTCAACAGCAAAATAGCATCATGTCTTCGTTTTTGTAGAAGTCGGTCATGAGTGTTGCTTTGAGCGCAAATTCAAGTTCAAATGTGCTTTAAAATAACCTTAGGCATTTTTTACTGGAGTTAGGATTCTAGGTAGGGAAGACTTCAACTTTTATTGGCAAGCAGAAGAGATGGGTATCATTATTCACACATCGTACCCCCACCCCAATTTCTGCCCGGATTTCAGCTTTCCACAAGGGCTGTCCTTATGCCCATTGCAGAACCCCCCGAGCCCCCATCTTGGCTACGCCGCTGATTTACTTCTGCCTTCCAAAGTTTCAGCTTTTACGACAAGGCTAACAACGAACAATTTTAACTGCACCGCGGGGGCTTGAGGTAATCGGATCGCATTACGTTGGCTGAACTGTTGCAACACGGAAGTTGATTATTTGCTCTCTTGGTTTGTGTCAGTGAACTCTAATTTGTGTATGTCTAATTCGTTTTTCTTATGTCTATGCAACTTCCATTTCCAGAATGTCCACCTATTACTTTTTTCGACACAAAATGATAATATCTTTCAGCTTTTAGCCGGACCGACTTTTTCGTCCCATTCAGGTTTTGGGACCGACTTTTTAGATATATTTCACAAAACATGGGGGGGTGTCACACCCCCCCACACCCCCCCTAATGTGCGCCCCTGCCGGAATAGATCGCTTCTGAAGCTTTTCAAAATACTCACAGTACACTATGTTTCATCAGATCTATTAAGTGTGGGCAGTTTTCGGCTGTTGTGGCGGTTTACGGCAGCGGTGAAGTTAGTGCTCGCTGACGAAAAATCGTTGATCATATAGACTGTATTTGATATAAGCTTCATTTGAAGATTGGCTTCTTTCACAAAAATAAAATGTAATGAAGCAATAGAAGCATAGTAAATTTGTCACTGAGTCAGACTATTTGTTATAGAAATGTTCTAAACCTGGAAAGTCGGAACTCAGTGGAGGCGTAAATTATAAATGCTTTGATTCCTTTCTGACACAAAAACCAAAACGGCTTATAGGCCGGACGTATAGCAACCATAAATATGCAGCGTCGGAACTGTCTATTCATTATCGTTGTTATTTGAAAATATTAATCTTGTTGGGTCAGCATAAAGTGCGAGCTATGTGAGGCACCCAAAACTCGCGAGTCACACATGAATACTGCAGCGAGCCATACATGTTTCGCAGAAACGTTTTTACTAGATATATGCGATAATTTTAAAGCTGATACGATGTTGAAAACAATATTTTATGTTTAAGGTACGGAAAAAATGTTGCACATAATCATATCTTCATATATAAAGGTTATACGAAGGAATCGAAATACACATAACCGTAAGGGTAAAAAACAAGAGTGAAGAGCAATTATCACAGCATGGCATTACCGCCGCCACCCAGAAAGGCGACAGATCACAGGCACATTTCCTATAAAGGCACATTTCCCGGCACTCAAGAAAAATTTCCACAGACAGAAAATTTTCCAAAAGTATCATTGTTAAAAGTTGAAAATTTTCCAAAAATATCAGTGTTAAAAGTTGAAAATTTTCGACTTCAAAATTTTCAGTCCAACGAAAAATTTGTGTCGGCCAATCACATTTTGCAATTTTTTTGGAAATGGCCTTAACAACATATATTTAATTAACGGTAATGGACTCATGAATTCTACAAATCATGGCTGTCGAGCAAATACCTTAATGGATTTACAATATATCCTGTGAACTCTGGGACCGAGGTAGCCTCCTCCGCAGGCATCTCGTAGTTCACGTATTTCAGAAAGTCGGGGAGATTCAGTTTTTGCCTGCAAGAAATTTTGCCCGATAATCGAAAGGCGATGCCTGCGGAGGAGGCTAGGACCGAGGTTAATCTTCAGCTATACCACCCCTTCCCACTGGAAATCTGCGAATATTTGCCCGATTCCAAAAGAGATATACCACCCATGCAAAGAAAAAAACTGACGTCCGACTTCACTAAAGTCATGCACATCAAAAGTTCTGGAAGAATTTGTGGTTGAATGGATCTTGGACTATCGGGCATGCAATCGATCCCAAGCAAGCATGCATGCCCATGGCAAATATCACAAAGACTTTGTAGACATTGAGGCGATTACTCCCAAGCTAAAAATATTTTCAAAGTACCGAACTTTCGAAATATTTCTATTTGCCGCAATTTGGAGATAAAAAGATATACTTTACTCGTTATCACGCATTTAATTTTGTGCTAATTTTGTGCTTTTTCAATAATTAGTTGTACCAATGTCATAAACCACAACTGAGATCCTTGACCTTGCATGCCTGCAGTCAGTCTCGTCAAAGACAAAGGTTGATGGAATCATTCAAACTATATATTGTTGATTCCTAGTTTTATCAACCTGCATAGTATACAGAAAGTTAATAAGTTATGCAGCAAGCAATTGCTCTTGGATTATATAGTTGGTTTAGTCAGGTTTCCTCCTGTAGCTAGGCTAGCGGCGACTATATATCTAGTTACACTGGAGCAATGAAGTATATATTGTCCTTACGCACTGGAGAACAATTAATACTTCATTGCTCCAGTGTAACCACTTACTTATAGGGAGACGATAGTTTAAAACTGATAATATATAAGTTAAGGTTTTCTAGCACCAGCACTTACATAATAAAAGGCTTATAAGTACTTTTATATAGTAAACGGCTGAAGTATTTTGTTTTTAATTTTCTTTGTTTGTAAAAAGGATGGCGGCATAAATTTCAATTCGCGGCTACAGACAGGATGTCTGTACTAGTCCCCCACAAGCTTGTAATAATAGTTAGTTCTACATGCAGTACACTGAT